CTCTGGCAGGCAAAGCACCACTTCACTGCCTGTAACAGTTTTTTGAGCATTCTTTCTGGAGTTGCCTAGAGAACCTAGATCCTACTCTTTTAAAAGCCTCAACGGTGCCAAAGTGGAATCAAAAATTGAAGACAGCCAATGTCTGCCTGAGCCAAGTGTCACAAACTATTTGAGTGATCAAACTAATTGGCACTACTTTGCTTCAAAATAATAAATGGGGGGGGGGGAGCGATAGTACAACGGATAAGGCATTTTCCTTGCTTGAGGCTGAGCCGGGTTCGAACCTCAGAATCCCATATTATCAACTGAGCACCACCGGAATGATTCCTGAGTGCAGAGCCAGGAATCACACCTCAGAATCGCCAGGTGTGACCCCAAATCCCTAAAAATAAATGGTTATTAAGAATTATATGAGATGCATTTTATCATTATTTATAATATACTCCAAAGAAAATTCTAGATGAGCTACAAGGAGTATGAGCAAAGGTATATACATATATATGGTGTATATATATATACATGACATACATATATATATACACCATATATATGTATGTATATATGTATTTCTCTTTTTCCTAAGTAACTTATTTGAAAGCTAGCACTAATTTGGTCTGTTTAGTCACAGAGAGTTCTTAAGTATATTGAACTGACCGCATCACTACACTAGAGACACAGCATGGGATTGCAGGAAAGAACAAACTTTGGAAGGAGACCAATGTGTATCAGAAACCCGCCGAGGTCCTGTGTTGCCTGTGCCATTTCAGAGAAGTCACTGGCTCTATCAGACTCTGCAAAATAAGGCTGGTATCTGCCTGGCAGGGTTATAAAGATCCCAGATAGTAGAAACAGGCCCTGACAACGTGCCTGGCACATGGCAGATGCCCCATCAGTTACAGCTATTATTAATAGTAAGGTCAGTATGATCACGAGGCCTTATAGATGGTTTTAGGACAACAAATAAACAAATATTTGGGTGGGAAGTTCATTACCTGCACTGACCTTCAATCACTACAGACAAATGTGGAGCTTGGACTTTCCTGAGGACAGTAATCAGTAGGCAGTCTTTGCTAATACCGTGTGTGATATTTGCCAACTGTGTGATTCATTTTGGTTACACTGCCCTCCAAACACTGAATCTTCACCATAGTCTGGACAGTCCAGGTCCTCCCATGAAGCTGGACTTTGAAACACTTTGTGCTTCTAAGAGGTCTTTACTGTCCTCTGCTCTGACAAATCCCCACAGTTTTCCTTCAAGATCAAGCTCTAGAATCTTAGCTGCCGGCCTACCCGAGAGAGCATTCTAGGCTCTGACTTTTGTGCACCCCCCCAGCATGCGTCCCTGTCTCTGTGATGTTTCATTATGTGCTGATGTCAATTATCTTTCCTTCCACTGCACTTGGGCATGTAAAGGAACTGCATCCCCATTTGTTAGGCTCAGACCACCTGAAACACACACAGGACAGCATTTCTTGGAAACACAGTTAAAAACTCAGTAGATGCTGCTTGTCAAATGAACACTCTTAAATATAAACACTTTGCAAACAGCTATTAGTGGCCAGGTAGCTGTCTTCACTTAACTGCCAGAAATCTCATTCACTTCCCCCCATCCCTGACTTAAAGTAAAAGACAAAGTAATTTATATACACTCCAAAACAACTTTAGAATTTGCAACATGAGGAAGTTTCTAAATGTGTCCTATCTCCATAAGACACCAGGCCCACAGATAGAACCCCCTGCCTGGCCTCCCAGTGGCATTACTAAGACTCTGTCCAGTTCAGCACACTGACAGAGTACGTTGACTCAGGAAGCCTAGGTAGTTTTCATAGCATTACCTGGTCACTAGAGCGGAAGAGCCTGCTACTCTGGGCCAGCAACTCCACTAAAGTCACAGAAAAATCCCAAGACTCCCCGGTGTGGGTGGGGTGCTGGGTCAAGGCTACTCACTCCCAGATCCTTACCTCAGGAACTACTCAGAGGTTTGTTAATTATGTCTGGTTCTAATAGTTTGCCTATTCAATAAACGGGGCTCCCTAGATGTTGGGAAGTTTCTGGTATTCAGGGGAGGACACAGTGGGTCCAGTGTCTATTTCTGCACATCTTAAATCGAGTAACTAGAAAGTTCATGATCAACCAATTCTGTACCAGATGGAAACAGGCAGAAGGTCGGCTGTCAGCCTTGTGCATCAAAGTGTTGAAACCTGTGATTCATCCTCTGTCACAGCAGTTATCCAGAGCCTTGGCAATACAGCAGCAGGTTCAGACTCACCAGGATGGAAAGACTCGGAAGGCCATCTGGCAACACAGCCCATACCTTGGAAGTCATCAATCATGCAAGTGACTGGTTCTGTGACATTACCATAAACCATAAAATACAGGCAGCCACATTCTGAGCACCATGGTCTTTCCCACCTCTTCAAAGCAGTGAATGCCTTCTGAAGGAGGGGAGATGAGTGCAAAGACAGCCAGGGAGCAGATTACCAGGAAAGAAAACAGTGAGTGGAAAGCTGAAGCTATAAAGCAGAATTTCTCAACTGGGTGTCGCATGCCCCCCGCCCCCGGTATTCAAATACCTAAGTGAAAGGTCATGGCATAAGAGTAGGGAACCAAATGCTGCAATAGGGGTGGGGGGCCCGGAAAAGAAATCATGGAAGGGGGACACGGTTGGAAAAAAGATCAAGAAGTTTTCCTATAGGCACTGTCGTTCATTCCTTTCACCGAGAGGCTATAGTAGTACCTGGGTATTATTCCAGGTCCACAGGAATGATATCATTGTATTGTGTTATTGTATTATGTATTACTGTATTCCATACAATAATGTAGAACAGTCATGGCCCTGGTCCCGTAGAGCTTACAAGTTTAGTTAAAAGAGAAATAAGCCTTAGCCAAATCAGTATATAAGCAGAAGGGTATGAAGAAGTGCTGAGGACGGAGAACAGTGTTGGACAGCGAATGTTCAAATGCAGCAAATAACAAGCTGGGCGCTCCAGGAGAAATTAGAATTAATTGGGTCAGGAGGAGAGGGAACAGTCCCGGCAAAAGAAAAGCGCCAAGGCCCTGGAACGGGAGGCCAATACTGATGTGGCAGGGAGGGCGGTGACATAGAGAGGTCTGGGGACACAGTGCAACCAGCTCTCCTCTCTATCCCTTTCCGTTTTCTCTCCAACTATGTGGGACGTGATCCACAACATAGGAACAAGAATAAAGAATGATGTCAAAAATGCAGTGTCCCCATGACACAGCCAATCCCACTAGCTAAAATTCTGAACCTTACCAAGATTGTCTGGCCACTGTCCTAGAGGTCTGTGCTGTGAGGCAGCAGTGCTCACTCCCACAAACTCAACGACAAGACAGACCAACTGCGCCCTATAACAGCGCTTTCAACCTTTGTGGCACCAAAGCATTCAATCCTGGTAAAATTAAGGTGTTGGTCGACTTATTGAACTTATTTATACATGCTGAAGACTGGCTTAACTATCTAATAGTTCTAATAGTAATAGCTATCTGACATATCTAACATTTCATTGTCACTTTCGCATCCTGATGACTTTGGCGGCTGAGCCCATTCTAAAAGGGAGAAAAAGTTAAGCATAGGCAGCACAATTTTGCACCCTGCTAGACTGCTTGAGGCAACTCCTGGGGGCTTCTGAATTATCTGTCACCTCGCAACTTTACATTTGTGGAACAAGGAGCAGACAATCCTCAATTTGCCTTACTCTCCTGCAAAGTGATTATGCGCATTCTACAGATCAAACAGATAAGTGAGTGGCCCAAAGACACAAAACAATTCAGCTTTTACATAACGTTCTTATCACTCTCCCCAAACAGTGTAGAGACACCAGATTTATCCTATCCTCCGGCAGCAGATAAAGGTATTAAAGTTCTCCTTTACCTCTTCTCAACGAACAACCCAGGGCAGAATGCCCTCCAGACCAACCCTATGAACAGTGACCACAGTTGTGGGGGGAACGGCACTCCAGAATATAAACTTGACAGATCTCAGAGGTGTCGAAGCAGCAGTTCCCATATGGGCACTTCCCCCAGCCCCCGAAGAATTCCTTAAACTTCTCACAAGCAGCCCTGACTGGTCTCCAACAGACCCCCACCACCCAGTACTGAAAATCCTGTATTTCCGTTCCCAATCTCGGACCTCCCAGTACCCCAAATATTCTCGAGTAGGATTTAACAAAACGGTTTAGTGAACGCACCTTCCCACCCTCAAATAAGGGCACGGGGCGCTCTAAGCATCGGATTGCCCACACCAACTCGGACCAACTCCTAGCTTCGCAGATGGGCAGAGAATTCTCTGGATACCCAACTGCTCTCTCTGGGCTGAGTTTCGTTCCCCCAAACTAAGTGGCAGACGTAGGAGTAAGGGGAGCAAGAGACGGTCTCTGTTTCGGGGCGCTCAGAGCCTGGCAGTTGGAATCGGGACCCGGTGCTCGCCACCCCTGTCCAACGTCCAATATATTCCAACGTCCAAGGAGACATTTGGCGTCGGGGAAACGAACGCCGGAGCGTTACTTCCCGGCACAGAAACTTCGTGGCTTGCAGGCGGCGGGGGGGTTGGGGGGGGGGGGCGGCGGACGGCGGGCAAACGGTCAGGTTCCCCCACGGAGGCAATTATGTAAGGCGCTGCCAGCCCCCGACTCGGGGGGATGGGGGGTGGGGGGGATGGAGCGGAATCCCGGTTCTCAGGACCACGGAGAGGCAGACGGGTGGGGGTAGCGGGCGCACGCCGGAGGGCTGCCGGGGGGCAGCGGCCGCGGGTGGGTGGGCAGCGGCTCAGGGGCACACGCGGCGGCCCTGGCAGCGGGACCGTGGCCGGCGGCGCCCGGGGCGAAGCGGGAACGGGGCGCGCCAGCCCGGAAGCGGGCACGAGGAGGGGGAACGCGGGGCGCGGGTGGCCGCGGGTGGCCGTGGGCGCGGCGCGGAGGCTCGGCCAGGGACCGGGGGCCGCGGGGAGGGTCCCGCGCGCGTCCCCGTCGCGGGCGCCTCACCTCGGGTTGAAATCCTGGAAGAGGCCCCTCAGGTTCATGGCGGAGAACTTCCCGGCGGCGGCGGCGGCAGCGGTGGCGGCGGCGGCGGCAGCGTCCCCCGCCCGCCCTCCCCCCCCCCCAGGCCGCCTGCGCCTTAGCGCCGGGTCATGGTGCCCGCGCCGGCCGCGGCCCCGCGTCTGTCCCCGCGGCCCCGCGTGCGCGCGCCGCCCGCCCCGCCTCCCGGGCTTCCGTAGGGCACCTGCGCATGCGCCTCGCTCCCGCCCGCGCCCGGCCGCCGCGAGTGCCCGCGAAGCCGCAGCGGGGGGCCGGGGGGGGGGGGAGGGGGAGGGGCGCGCGGCCCGCGGGGACCCGAGGCGGTGAGGGGAGCCAAGGGCAGGGATGGCTGACACCTGTCGCTCTGCCCCCCCACCCCCGTCCCCGCGCCCTTGATGGCAAAACTGCCAAGACCCACCCCCCGGAGGCCGGAGCTCGGCGGGGATGCAGCCCGTGGACGGCTGCCACTTGGGCTTCTGCATCCCGGGCGTTGCCTGCGGAGCTGTCCGTGGCTTCCAAGTCTGTGTCCCCAACTTCCTTGCCAAAGGCCAGGGCTGCCGTGTGGGGCGCGGCTGAACGGCCCACCCAAAACTGTCCCAAACTCAGGGTAGCCTGCGGAAGACTCACGCACCACCCCCCGCCAATTCTGTCTCCCTCTCCTGCCTTGCCTTTCTCTCTTGACAACTGAAGTTTTTTTTTTTTTTTCCGTGGGGTTGACAGTAATGAGTTGCAGTGGCAGCGACAGCCTTTGCAGACTTAGCTCACTGACTCCTTGATGACCAGCTCACACCTGATCTCCTCCCCTCTGGGCTGTTCTACTCGTGACTGTCCTGGGCAAGTCAACATCTTTCTGCCACTGTTTTTCCCCTCGTTAGGATGGAAATAAGCACACGTCTTTCCCAATCTCAGGAAGATTCTGTGAGAGTGCTTGGGAATCATGCTGCCTGGTGCTCCTTAGGTGCTCCTTACGTTGCTATCTGGTGCTTTCACAGAAACCCAGCTTCCCAAAGAGTCAGTTTGCTTTTAGAAATTGGATTAAAGGACAGGCTCACAGCACATGACCTAGTCCACCTTCTTCGCTTCCAGCTGATTTAAGAATTTACCATGAGCACAGCAATTCCTTAGACATTAGTCTAATGTCATTATGGGTAATAGCTGTACTTAGTTACAATAGTGGAGTTTCATGAACAGCAATTTTATAGAGGTTGGCCCCGAGGCAGCATGAGAAGATCACAATATGACAGTCATACTCTGCCAGGATGTATCACCTTTCTTCTGAGAACCTGAAAACATTTCACAAGTGGTAATTATTCTTCCCAAGCCCACTTGAGAATGGTTATTATTACATGAGCTGGTTTTAAGGATGAGTAACCTAAGCAAGTTTGTTAGCTGCTGAAGCACTAGGACCCTGTCCCAGACATTTTGGTTCAAGTCTCTTGTGTGACCTCCAAATAGAGTCCATTGTCTGAGGAGGTGCCAGCCGGTGTTGACAGACAGAAAAGAATGGTGGAGAGGTAAGGCTGCCTACTCTGAGCTACCCAGCTAGGAAGGGTGTAACAGCAAATGTACTGCTTGTGGTCTGGCTAAGTACTGCAAAAACAAAAACAAAAAAGAGATACTTCAAGTGACCAGTGACCAGACAAGTCGACACCATCTTAATTACAGGTGGCCTCATTCCAAACAGCCATTAAGAGTTAGATTGTCAGTTAAGACGCTTGACTCACAGAACTGTTGCCCTTTCAAGAGCTTCCTAGACAGAGAGCAGGCAGAGGGCTCAGGGTCTAAAGCAAAGACTCCTAAACTTACTTGACCTACCTTCCTGTTTTAGAAAAACTATCACTCAGAGCCCCCTAACAACCTACCATTTGTAAACAAACAGAAAGCAGTGTCTAACGATTGCAGCAGATTTGTTATTGCTTTTCCCACCAGTCCAGTGCCTGTCCCCCAGGGGAGGTATTGCCCACTTTGGGAAACACTGAGCCTTGGAAAGGGACTGCCAAAGGTATCTGGGGGGAGATCCCAGAGAGTCCCAGAGCTCAACTCAGCCCTACAGGCCCATAGTCCTCTAAGAAAGAACCAATCTATGGAGGCTGCCTAGTAGGGGAACGGGACAGAATATATGGACCAATCATCAATGGATTCGATAGCTCTGACAAGCTCACAAGGGAACATGAGTTTGTTCATGAGGGAACTTGGGAAGAATTGGACATCCCAAGGGTCTCAACATTCCCAATCTTGGAGATAGATCTAGACACCCTCAACTTCACTGCTGTCCCAACCAGCCCAAAGTCAGTTTCTCCAGATGTACCTCTTGTTCTCTCACCAGCAAGTGCAACAGACCTACTGCCAATATGCTGCCACCTCAAACCCCTCATTTAGTGTCAAGACCCCAAAATTCACTGATCTGTGAATGACCATGAATGATCAAGAATGACCATAATCATGAATGACCATGAGCATAAAGGACCATGAATGATCTATGAACTACCCAGACAATGAAGAAAGACTTTGAACCATTGATTAAGTCCCCACCATTTCTTCTAGTTTGGGGGGCCATCACTGGAGGCGCCCATGTTCTTTATATGAAGGCAGGAAAGGCATCAATTTGGAAACAGGGGCCAAGAGGACTCATCAATGTTTGAAATCTACCACAAGTGAGTGAGGAACAGAGGTTAGATAGAGAAGGGACCAGTATGACAATAATAGTTGAAAATTATCATGCTGGACAAGACTGAGTGTTGAAATATATACCTGATAACCTTTCAGTATCTGTATTACAAACCACAATGCCCAAAAGGAGAGGGGCAGGAGGGAGATGAAAAGTGGGAGGGAAAGGTAGAGGGAGGGGGAGGCCGAGAAGAAAAGTTCCTGCCATAGAGTCAGGATGAGGAGAAGGGGAGTTGGGGGGGGGGGGAACTGGGAATATTGGTGTGAAATGTACACTGGTGGAAGAATGTGTGTCATAACACTGTATGACTGAAACCCAATCATGAGCAGCTTTGTAATGGTCTATCTCACAGTGATTCTGTCACTGTATCACTGTCCTCCCGTTCATCGATTTGCTCGAGCGGGCCCAGTAACGTCTCCATCATGAGACTTGTTGTTACGGTGATTTTATAAAAACAAATTTTAAAAGAAAAAGCATGACTTCCAATCAAACTATAAATCATAACTATGTGACTTTGTAGTAAACATGCACTGCAGAGTTCCAGAAGTATCAGTGTTACCTGGACGATGGTGATAAGCACTACTTTAGAAGTGAACTACCCTTACAGTAAGTCATTGGCATGTCAAATAGACATCCACATTAGCTCCAGTGATATGGGGGAGTGGGGGCCAGGAAGGCTTCTGAAGACCAGAGCTCCAGTGTGTGCAGACATTGGATCACTGAAAATCTCTGTTAGAGAAAGAAGTGATCCTGACCTAATTTTCTGTAGCACCAGGGTTTATCTAGTGGTTCAGCAACAGAGGAGATGGAACAGGGAGTTTGAAGACTTCTATTAGCACCCTCACTGCTCCAGTGAGGGAAAGGAATGTTGGTATCAAATCCTGGGCATGGCTGTTGGATATCTCAACGGATTCCTCAGGAGCTTGATGAAACTATCAGCCAGAAAGGATGAGGTGACATTCCCAAGGCTATCCCTCTGTCCATCTGAAATTATCCAACCTAAATTTCTAAAAGTTCATGCCCTGCATACCACCCACTGGGGTCTTTGGACCTTTGTGCTCTTATAAAATCCCATCTGCCTTCGTGAAAGCGTCCTGTGTTTCTGGAAATTTTAGGGTGACCCGAGTAGACCTGGCATCACTCTGTTCCTGATATCTCCCTGAGAGAGACTGGGGTCTGAACAAGAATGAACACTTGTTTGGGTTGGGGAAGGGGTCCTGAGAGATCTAGGGAGGAGGCTGGGGAATTATGGAAGGAATGAAAGAGGTAATCTATTGCCTTTGCCTTTTGTCTTTTTCCAAAGTTCAAAAGGAACCACCACTCCCAGGGAGATTATCCTCTAGGCTTGCAAGGTGATGCTGCAACACAAGAAGGAGAGTAGTACCAAGTAGTTCTGGCCCACTTGTCACCGAGGGTGAGCTGAAAGTCCATAGGTCAAACTCCTCCCTGGATCAAGATTCCCACTGAAAGGAGCAAGGACCGTCTCCAGTTGGAAAAGTCCTCCAGAACCTCCAGGGTGTCCTTACATGCCCCTTCTTGAGGGGCTTTCAGGTGGATAAGGAGTTTCTTGCAAAGTCCAGGTCAAGATCATGTGAGGTCCTAGGGAGCAGACAGGAAGATAGGTGTCTGTCAGAGATCACCAACCAGTTGCCTGTGAGTCTCCTCTCCACTTGTCTGTGTCCTGACTCTCCACTCATTGCTTACATTTTTCACTTGGTATTTGTACATGAGAGTTCACACCAGCCCTCGGGTTTCCCAAGCCTTCTAATGTACCCCTGTGGTTAGGCTGGCCTGTCATCTTCAGTGAACCCATCACCTTTATTCTATGCATGTCTTCAGAGACATCTCGGTTCCAGGCACTGTAGGATACAGATGTGAATCGTCAAAAACTCAGTGAAGTATGTGACTATAGTCTAGGATGTTGGAACTAAACTAAATTGGAATTCAGGGGCCAGGGATGTGGCTCAGTGGTACAGCACATGCCTCACATAAGGGAAGCCCTGAATTAATTTCTGGATCCCCTCTACCCCAAAGTTTCAGCCTGAGAAGAGAGGAAAGAGAGGAAAGAGGCTTTCAGGCAGAAGCCATGCCACTCACATGAGAGCAGAAGTCAGCGAATGGTGGAGTTGGGCAGCTCTTTCGGGAGAGAATTGTATAAGCATACATTCTCTTGGGAATTTTTGAAGATTTCTTTTTATACACAGGTCCTCCAGTCTAAGTTCTGAGCTCCTGGCAAAATTCTCCATTTCACAACAGGATTCGGCCTAGACTGTACTGAGATACTTTGTGTGCACACTCACACAGACAGTATGGCACTGCAAAACAGTGTGTCAGTAAAGAAACTCCATATGTTTGGAGCATAGGCAGAAAACTAAGGCCTAGTCTCGAGATGCCCTGCGATCATATGACCTTCTAAATGGATTGTTTTCTCCAACCCAAGTACCAGCACAGTCCTCCCATCTTGACCTCAGTGTGAACCGAGTAGGGATGTATTTTCTAAACCTATGCACATAGGAACTCAACCAGTAGGTTTTCTCCAGCATTTAAATAACGCAGTTCACCCTAGGCACAAAATTCCTCCTCAGAAATTTTGGGAAGAAATGTAAAAGGAACTGGAAATAATACAGGCAAAAAGATATTCACGGTGGGCAATGGGTAAGTCCAGGCCATTCTAAAGCTTTACAATGGCCAAATAAGCAAGAATGCCTTTAAAATAATCCAGTGAAGGGCCACTTGGCTACTCCAGTCTGTGGTGGGAAGAATTCGAAAAGTTACAACAAAGCTCCAAGGACCTGAGGACCCTAGGTGGGCATAGACCTGGCCATTTTATTTGAAAATCAGTGTATTATTGGGATATCCCTCCATACCACTTGTTTTTGGACTGGGAGGTAAGAGGGGAGATCCTCTTATGTTTTCTTGCTTCCCCAAGAGACAACTCCCATTGCCATGCCCGAAAGAACGTCTCTGACTCACACCATTCAGACCAAGACGATAGAATGTTTCTAAAGTTGGAGACTATGATATGAATCAGATCATGTATCCAGGAAAAGGAATAATTCATCATTCAGTGCAATTCACACCAGCCCTCTGATCCCAGGGGATCAGAAAACATATACTGGGTAAGAATTGTTAACCTATGAGCCTCTGTGCAATTTTCAATAGAAATGCCTGTAGCCATAGTTGCTCTGCTCCTTATCCAGAGATAAAAGTTTATCATAAAACCCTCCCTGAGCATACATGGATAAGCAATTCTGACCACATTGTCCAGAAAGTGAGGGGACAAGATGTGGATGGGACTTGATGTCCCCAGTTTACTAACTGCCTGAAAGATATATCACAAGCAGAGGTTTTCAGTCCAACTCATTTCTGGAAGAAGTTTCTCCTGCCAGAAAATATTGGGTTAGAGAGCCCCAATGTTTTCTTCTAGTGCCCTCCACGAGTTTCACTGCTAATTTGGACACTCTTCTCTAAATTTCAGGACAGACTGCCTTTCACTTCACTTACTTTTCTGTATCTCTCATAGAAATAAATATTTTGTTCGCTTTTGGGCCATATTTGGGAATGCCCAGGGATCACTCTTGGCTCTGTGCTCAGAGGAATTACTCCTGGCGGTGTTCAGGAGACCATATGGGATGCCAGAGACCAAACCCAGGTCAGCTGTATGCAGAGCAAATGCCCTAGTCACCGTACTATCTCTCTGGCCCCATGAAATTGCCTCTAAAATCAGGACATTGACTTCTCTCTTTCTTTTCAATGCTGGTAAATTCTCCTGAGTGTCTGCTATTGTCCACACCTCTACGAGTGTTTAAGATGTACACAGGAGCAGGTAGGCACAGAGAAACCAGGGCATTCCGTGGGGACGGACAGACAGGAAAGAGTGGAAGAATGGTGACTGTCATCTTGTTTTTGTCAGAGCAGCATCAGGTGCACCAGGCCACAAATGTTCCACCCTCTGGGAAAATCCCAGGCAGTGTTGATAAGTGCTCCGTGGCCAGGGTCAGGTAAGTGCCCTGTGAAACCTCCACAAAGGGCAGGGTGTGCCCTGACCTATGTTCTAGGGACATGAAGGGGCATATAAAATGATTAGATGTGTTTTCGCAGATGGCGAGATAGCCTCACTGCCAGATTAAACTTTTTGGCCAACTGCTTTTTTACTAGTGGGTCCAAAGTGAGTGATGTGACACCAGAAAGACAACGCAGTTAAAGGGTACTCTGTGTTGGACTTTTATTAGGGCTACCCTGGGGGGAGCAGGGACCAGGTTGTTAGCTGGCCATGTTCTAGAAATTGACAGGAGGACACACTGTAGGGAAGGGTGACAGACTTTGGGAAAGTTCTTGAACTCTGTAAAATGCCCACACAGGGAAGTCAGCTGTCAGGAAGCACTGGTACTCAAGCAGGAAGACCCCAGGTGAATAAAATCACAGGTGCAGCTGAAATCAGTTTGATTTCCCTGTCACCTCCCTGAGTTCTATCTTTAGTAACTTGTAAACAGTCTCACTTTTCGTCCATGGGAAAATATAATGAACTGGGGCGTGGGGGAAGAAGAATGAAGACGCAGAAAGGGGACTGATACAGCCACAGTGGGAATCTAGATACTGAAGATGAATTCACAGCAGTTTGGTCCTGCCTGAGCTTTCTGATCACTAATTTCCACCTATAAAATGAGTTTGACAGACTTTTGTTTGTGGTACTGCATAATAGAGGTAATGTATTAAACACCCAGCAGCAAAGTCCTTGCTTATTAGAGAATTTTAATGGCTATTACGTATTCCAAGAAATTATTTGACCTCGATCCTACCATAATTCTGTGTGGGCTTTTTTGTTTGTTTTTATGACATCTCAAAGAATTTACCATTACATAGGAAACTGAAACTGAAAATCAGAAAATATCGTTGCTCTACTTATTTCTTCCCAGAGGCTTTATTATTCATTACATGTGGAAGGGTGCTCCTGGTGGGAGCTCTGCGAATTTGGGACCACCTCCTGCACTCCTTGGTACTTCGGACAAGTGAGTGACTCTTCATTCATTTCATCCTCAGGGAAAACTAGAAACTACTTACAGTTGGCAAGGGAAATTCTTGGTCACTGAGCTCATTGCCATTTTTCTGGAGTCTTTTTGGCTCTGCTGGGCAGAGAGTACAGGCCTGCCCAGTGTTTTTCACTTCAAGGAGCAAGACCCTGCATGTGAGGACCTCGTAGCTCAAAGTGGAGACAAAAATCTATTCCTCGGGGCTGGAGCGATAGCACAGGGGGTAAGACATTTGCCTTGCATGTGACCTACCCGGGTTCAATTTCCAGCATTCCATATGGTTCACCGAGCAATGCCAGGAGTAATTCCTGAGTGCATGAGCCAGGAGTAACCCCTGTGCATTGCCAGGTGTGACCCCAAAAAAGCAAAAAAAAATTATCTGTTCCTCACCATGTTGTACTGCAGGAGGATGAGAGAGTCCACAAACTTTCAGATCTACTTCAGGAGCTTTCTCTCCTGTTTCACCGTGATCCCACAGGATGCTCATAACATTTGCCTATACCGGAACTATCTCTTCCATAAGAGATCCCTGCCCGTGACAATTTCCTGACACCATGCAGCTCAGTGACGACTACCTCCCACTAAAAGTCCTGCAGTTTCCCAATATTCAAATTGCTCTATTGTGGGAACTTTCTCTACTGGAGCCCATGGGTTCTCCCTTCTTTCACTTGTTCTGTGGGTCTTAGAGAACATTTCTCCACCTCCCATAAATTACCAGGGTCCTACACTATTGCTCTATGAACTGGGAGTGCATTCTGCTCATCCTCATATCCTTATAAATAAAAAAAGACATTCTTTTTTTGGAATTTTACAATATTTTTATTTCAATAACAGCATAAAACTTTGGTCACAAAGTTTGCCACCTATTACTTAACAACAATTATTACATTAAACCAGTGTAACAAAGGACATTTTTTTTATTATTTTTTAATTTTTATTAGTGAAACACCATGAAGTACAAATTTTTGTGCTTGGGTTTCAATTATACAAAGTATAATTGATAAAGTACCCATCCCTCCACCAGTGCCCATTTTCCACCACCACAGGTCCCAGTATCCCTCCCACCCACCATCCCCCATCCCACCCTGCCTCTGTGGCAGGGCATTCCCTTTTGTTCTCTCTCTAAAATGGACATTCTTAAGAGCAGAGTCTTATGACTATAAAATGAACCAGTGAGTAGGAACCTCATTCACTGAGATAACCCCCACCCCGTTACTTGAATAACATAGTTATATCCAGGTATGCACATATAGAAACATCTTTGTATATATACACATATATGTATTTATTAGAAAGATATAAGAAATGAAACAAGATATTAAGAAGACATGTTACTTTTATTTCTCAATTTCTGACTCCATGCATTTTATTGCTAACTTCAGTCACATTTCCAAGAAAATTCCTATAGCAATGTCATCCAGTTTCAGGTTACAAAATAAGATAAGATTTGACCAAATAATTTAAACAAACAACAAACTTTTTTCATCTATGGTAAGTGCAAATACTGTGTTGTCAAGGTTATTCACAAAATAAATATTTTAAGTTTCCCAAACAAAAACCAAGTTTAATTTAATATTCACCACAAAGAGTGAGAGCATCATCTAGGACACTCTCCATAGTTTCCCAACTCACTCTGGTCTCTCCCACATAGAACTCAGACTACTCTAGAATTATTCTGCAACCCCATCTCCTAGCTCCTCACCTTCTTGGCCCTGAACCTCTGCCATCAGTAAGCAAAAGGATCTTGCATCCCTGGTATGGATTTTGAGCCATAACTCAATGACTTTCTTTCTGCTGGTTTCAGCATAGGCCCTGGGACCCCATAGGAACTCATAGCAGGCAGGGTCACTTCCGGGTATTTCCCTATACTCCAGGTACTGCTCCTTCACCCACACATTGGTGAGGAGATCCCTGGGATCCCCATAGATGAAGTGTTTCATTTCAGGATACACCCCAAGCCTACTTAATGTCTTCCACATATCATTCTCTAAGGAGTGGTTACCATCCCGAATAATGATTCCCAGGACCATGATCAGGAGGCCGGTCTTGGGTAAGCTCTGCTCAGGATCCACCATCCCATCATAGGTGAGACCAATAGCAGGGACAAGGTTGTAAGAGAGGATTTGGGGATCTACTTCCTGCACCTCAATGCCAAACACCAGCAGCATGTACTCATAAGCCTTGGTGAAGACTACAGGGAAGAGTTGTTGGTCATTACTCAAGATGGTACTCAGAATTTCTTCTTTGGTGATGGTCTTGCTAGTGCGGTACTTGAGGAGGAGGAATGCCACTAGGTCGATCATCTTCTGAAATTCTGCACCTTGGAGGGAAGACTCTGTTCCTGCTGCCTCTGGTCCACCCTCCTCTTTGATGCTGCAGCTCTCCTCAGAAGGCTTCTCTGGAATTTCAGCACTCTTCTCAGAAGAGGTAATGGAAGCAGGAGAGTTTGGGGGAGCACTGGGAACCGTAGGACTACCTTTATCTCCAGAGATGTCTGAGGAGAGAATAAAAGGGGAAGAGGATATGGAGGAGGAAGTGGAGGGTGGGGTGGGGTTTTTGGAGGAATAGATGATAGAGGATACAGAGGAGGAGGTGGAGTAGGTGGAAGAGGAGGAGGAGGAGAAGGAGAAGGAGGAGGAACCATAGGACTATCCTCATCTCCAGAGATGTCTGAGGAGAGAATAAAAGGGGAAGAGGATCTGGAGGAGGAGGAAGTAGAGGGTGGGGTGGGGTTTTTTGAGGAATAGATAATCGAGGAGAAGGAGGAGGAAGAGGAGGAGCAGGAGGAGGAGGAGGAAGAGGAGAACATCATCTTACCCTTCTTACTGCAGAACATCGACTCTAATGGTTGTTGCATCTCTGATAACTTGCTGTGTTCTTCATCAAACATGGTGAAGCTGTTATGGCTGAAGAGCAAGATAAAAACTTCAGACAGGAAATAGGACTGTGCTGAATGAACCCTCAGGCCAGGGTGGGGAGAGAGGGAGTATGAGAAGACTTTGCAGAGCTAGGCACACCTTTTGTGGGGATGATCAAGACGACTGACCTGAATCCTCTAAAGCAGTGCTCTTACTCTTACACGCTCCGTTCTGGCCAGATGCCCCCAAAAACCTGAAAGAGGAAGTAAGATGATTGTTCAAGTAATAGCCACCACAGCCCAAGGCTTGATTGCAAGACACCTGTTATATATCATTGGTGCTGTGGGAGTCCCTCTGTCCTCTGGTGGAAGACTCCTGGCTGTGCATTCAGGGTGGTCCCCCTTCACCTTGACCGCCTGCTTCATACTGTGCCTTCTATAGTCTGTCACCTGATATGGGGCTTAAAGTAGGTGTCACCATGCAGTTACCAGAGCTGCTGTGCCAGGAAAGAAGAGAAACCCTCAGGGTGCAAACAGTAAGCACTTTTATGGGGCTCTATACCAGCAGAAGGGGTGGGGCAGCCTCTGGATGGTCCTTAATTCTGTGGTGGAAAGTACCTTATGCTCTCTGGACTATTTATCACTGCCAGGACCTGGTGGCTACCCTTCAACTATCCTATTGTAAAACACCTAACAGGATCCCACATAACAGATGCTACAGAGGGAGATCAGGAATCCACATCTGACCACACTATCTCAGGGCATCCCATGGTCCTGAACAGGGGACAGTGCTATGACTCTGCCGCAGTCCTGCTACAGCCAGGGTCCCCATCTAAAGACCTGAGTTCAGACACTAAGACCAAGGCCCTGAGCTCCTGAGACCAGGGCTATGGTATTCACAAGGATTCGGTCTCATAGCCCTGCCCAGGGCTCCCAGGCCTGCCTGATGTCAGGTGCAGATCATATTACAAGGGTTCCATTTTTTATCTCTGGACATTGGGGTCCTCTCACACCTCACTTGTGGTTTATAGTATAAGATAGCTCTCCCAGTGTGAAAACCCCAATCTGCTGGTCCACACCAAGAACCTCTTCTTTGTGAGGGATGTAGAGCTATGCTGACCCATGCCAGTCACCCCCAGGTGACAGCAGTGCAGAGCTTCTCTCAATAGAGACCTGCTCTGTGTGCGCTGGGGGTCCCCTCCTTCCTCCTTAAGACAGCTATACTTATTCTGAGCAGGGAATATTTCTTGCCTCTCTACTCACTAGAGGCAGAATTCTATAGGTCAAGGTCACCACTACACTTAGATCTAGAAGGCAGAGAGTGTCTCCCTTCCTGACAGCTTGCCTAACCTCTCAGAAAGAGTTCAATCATGGGTTTCTCTGGGAACCTATGTCTGGGGTTAAGGACTTTTAGTCCTTCAGGGGCCCAAAACTTCACCCGCTGCTGAACCTCGCATTCCTCACAGCAGGACCGCAACAGCTCTGTGGCTCCAGAGGTAGAAGTTGGGATACGTTTAACCTCAAAGACACAACATAGTGACTTCGGGTCCCTCCCTCTCTTGTGGGGCTTAAAAATCTCAGTCTCTGGCCCACATTCAAAAGAACAAAAGCAACCTGTGTTGGCGCAGATATGGCGAGAAAGGGACCCTCCTTCACTGCTGGTGGGAATGCCGACTGGTTCAACCCTTTTGGAAAACAGTATGGATGATTCTCAAAAAATTAGAAACTGAGCTCCCATTTGACCCAGCAATACCACTCCTGGGAATATACCCCGGACAGGCAAAAAAGTATAGTTGAAGTGACATCTGCACTTGTTTGTTCATTGCAGCACTGTTTATAATAGCCAGGATCTGGAAAAAACCTGAGTGCCTGAGAACAGATGACTGGTTAAAGAAACTTTGGTACATCTACACAATGGAGTACTATGTAGCAGTTAGAAAAAATGAAGTCGTGAAATTTACATACAAGTGGTACTACATGGAAAATATCATGCCAAGCGAAATGAGTCAGAAAGAGAGGAACAGACATAGAAAGATTGCATTCATCTGGATAACATAAAGTAACAAAATAAGAGACTAACACCCGAGAGTAGCTGTGACAAATACCAGGTTGTTCACTCCATGGCTTAGAAGCCAGCTGCACATTGTAGGGGCAAAGGCAGCTCAGATAGAGAAGGGAGCACCAAATAAAGGGTGCTGGGAAGATCCGCCCAGGATGGGAGATGCATGCTGAAAGCAATCTATAGACAGAACATGATTGCCACCCAAAGTCTCTTCTGCAGATCACAGCACCCAAAAAGAGAGAGAGAACAAAAGGGAGTGCCCTGCCACAGAGGCAGGGTGGGATGGGGAATGGGAGGGGTGGGAGGGATACTGGGATTGGTGGGGGTGCAGAATGGGCACTGGTGGTGGGATGGGTACTCAATCATTGTATAACTGAAACCCAAGCACAACAACTTGTAAATCTACAACGGTACCTCGTGGTGTTTCACTAATAAAAAAAAAAAGCCATTCAGGGCCTTTGGAGAAGCCAACATAAAAAAATAAATAAATAAAAATCTCAGTCTCCTTCTTGTACCTCAGTTGGGTTTCCATCAAGGGGTTTGAATGCTCACCTCTCTGCCCCAGGACTCATGATATAAAAAGACCCACAGCACCCCAAGTATCTCCAGGTGCAGATCATGACTAGTCTCCTTTGGAGAACTGCTGCCTACTGCTTATAGGTCTGTGTTTTGGGGTCCTGGATGCCTCTGCCTTCCTTCTGCATCTCATTTGTGTGCCATCATGACCTGGACCCTGCCTCTGTGGACCTCAGCCCAGCTCCTACGTCAGTACAGATCTGGGGGTGCAACCTGTGCTCATCCCTTTCTGGGGCCTCTTACTTGTAAGAGCCTGTGTATGTTTTTAAGGGCTCTCCATTGGTCTGAGGAGCTAGGCTCCTGAAGTCTTCTCGGTTCCCTGTCTGAGTCCTTCCTGGGGCTCCTGGGAGAACAGAGTCCTCCCTCTGCTGACCTGGAGCCCTAGTTTTTACACCCGCTGCCATTCCGCACTGACCCGGATGTAAATAGAAAACCTGACCGCACGTGGTCCGGCACTGCCTCTAAGTCTCGAAGCTTCCTCGGGCTGTTATACTGCTCCTCCCTTGGGGCCAGGCTCAGTCCTTCCTCCCTCAGCCCCTCTCTTTGACTGCAGGGAGGCTTGTGCCCCCCTCTCTGCTCACCCGAGTTCCTGCTCCTTGTACCAAATCCCCAGACTCCCAGCCCCGAATGTGGAAATCAAGATATCCCTCACTTTCTCCCAAACTTGGTCTCCCCAGACAGAAAGGTGGGGGAAGTTTTTTTGGGGGGTTCAGGGTCCATCTATCATCTTTCTACGGGTTCCTCACGTGATAGGATTCCTCCCCCCCGCCGACTAGAGTTTCGGACCGTTCTCAGACCAGACTTGGGGACGCCATCTTGCCAACGTGCCCCTGGGGCCTTCATAACTGACTTAAGTCCCTTGCTTTGACTCCGGTCAAGTCTTCTAAACTGAGTGATCCCGAGCCTTTGACTTAGTATCTTCCCTGGAACTTGGGTCCTTGTTTGTCTTACCTCGGGGTCCTGACTTTCGGCTCCACGGAACTCCAACGTCCCCACTAGCGGCCGCAAACCGCCTCGCTCTTCGGGAGGGGGTTGGGCATCGTCGTCTCGCCGGAAGTAAAAGGTGGGCACGTTCATGGAACACATATGGGGACCGCCCAGTAATACCGGAAGGGTTGCTAATGAGTTCCGGTTGCGTTCCGTTCTTTGCCTTCACTCAAGCAAGCATGGTTGTGCCCGTGGCTCACACTAGACGACATCCCTCAAACCCAGGCTTGCCTTTTCTACCCAAAGAGGTGGGGAGGGAAGTGTGCAACCCCTACACTCTTACCTAGTTCGCTCTGGATTATATTTAGGATAGACAAAAGGTCCTGTCTGCCCTTCCTGCTTGCCATCTCCCCGCCGGAGCCTTCAACACTCGGGATAGGCTCTGATTGTGCTGATTCTGGCGAGGTTGGGGGGCGGGGGGGGATACGTACATTCACAAACTTGAACAAAAGAGTCTCGTTAGCCTGGAGTCGGGTTCTGTGGCTCCCTTCTCTTGTGGGACCGGTGCGCCTCGTGATATCCAATCTTCCCTCCAACCCTTGCAGAAAGGACTAAGTCCCAGGGTGTCAATCTGGGAATTCAGATTTGGACATGTTGTGTTCTAGAATATTATTACTGAGCCATGGCGAGGGCTAGGTATGGGAGTGAGCTGCTGTTGCATCATGGAGTGCAATGAATTTCATTTCTCCATGGTCCTGCACGGTCAGAAACACATTCCAGGGGCTGGAGTGATAGCACAGCAGATAGGGTGTTTGCCTTGCACGCGGCCGACCCGGGTTCAATTTGCAGCATCCCATATGATCCCCCGAGCACCTCCAGGAGTAATTTCTGAGTGCATAAGCCAGGAGTAACCCCTGTGCATTGCCAGGTGTGACCTAAAGAGCAAAAAAAAAAAAAAAACCCACCACATTCCACACCTCTACCTGGTGTCTATTACACAGGAATATTGTGCATGCATACACACATACTGCAAATGTAAACTTGCACATATATGTATATTTACATATGGCCGTGTGCATATTTCAGATTACATATAGTCTTATTTAAAAATACCTACTCTTGGATGTGCACTGAATCATGCTATTTTATGTTTTGTCTCTTCTATATATTTTTTTTAGACTAATAATCTTTGAATGAACAGCCTTCTCTCTGAAAGGAAGCTTCAGGTGGTCATTATAATGTAATTAGACTTGAATACCTCAGTGGACCCATGTCCCAGAATTACTCCAGGGCTCCTCTTCCCATCCTGTCTTCTGCATCTATGAAGCGTGCAAGCCCTTTTCCCTTTTTCCTCCCTTCTCTTCCCCCCGCCCCCCCAAAAAAGTTGACAGCTCACAACTGTTTCCAATCTGCTGTGGATGTGGTGTTTCTTCTATTTTGTTCTCTAGATTTTGTTGTTCCTATTGTGTGTTTTCCTTTTTAGAAATTCTATTTTAGGCACAGTGCCTTACAATATTGATTACGGCAGGGTTTAATGCAAAAAAAAAAAAAAAGCTCATTCCCAAACCCATCAAATCCTCCACCAAAGAGTCAGCTTCCCTCCACCATGTTCACTTCCACTCCCCTCACCCCATGCTCTACCCATCTATAGTCATATGTTTCCTATATTAAAGGTAAAGGTAAAGGCCCTCCCGTTGATCGTCGATTTGCTCGAGCGGGCCCAGTAACGTCTCCATTGGAGACTTTATTGTTACTGTGTCTGGCATATCGAATACTCTCGGTAGCTTGCCGGGCTCTCCGAGAGGGGCGGAGGAATCGAACTCGGGTCGGCCATGTTGGCCGCCGTTTCCTATATTAAATAACAGTTATTCATTATTTGTTTACAGTGTTACTTTATATAACTCTGATTGTGTGTTTTCTTAAAGAATTTGTGGGTTTTAGAAGAATTTCACATTTATAGAAAAATTTAAAATATGGATATTTCTCATCCCCTCTGTTGCCGTATACATACACTTGTTTGTTAGCAAGATCCTTCAACAGAGGAGCAGATTTCTAACAATAAATTAACCTATGCTATGCATCATAGTCATCCAAAGGATGTAATTAGCAGTAGAGTCCACTCTTGGTTGTAAATTTCTCCAGGTTGGACAAATGTATAATGACATTTACCCACCATTATAGTTTCAACAGAGTACTTTTACTGCACCCACCCGCCATCCGTGCTTTGTGTCTGTTAATCCCTGGCCCTATAATACCCTTGTAACTAATGATATTGTCATTGTCTCAGTATTTTTACCTTTACAGACTGTCATATTATAGAAATTTGAAGCAAGTAGCATTTCACATAGGCCTTTTCACTAGGCAATATGCATTTAAGACTCTTCCTTATATTTTTGTCACTTGTTTCCACATTTCTTTTGGCACTGAGTAATATTCATTATTGGGATGAACTGTCATTTATATATTCATTTATCTACTAAACAACATCTTGATTGTTTACAAGGTTGTGTTGTTACGAAAAAATTACCATAGGCTTTTATATTCCCATGAGTAATGAGTGAGAGTTCCCATGCTCCGTATCCTGTCCATATTTCATATTGTCACGGGATCAGATTTAGGGCATTCTGCTGGATGTAGTGTGATGTGGTGCTGTTGGAGGCAATGTCTGTGTGTGTTTAATTTTACTTTGTAGCATATATTTTTTCCGGGGATGATTTGGTAACATAAGACAGAGATCTTATCTTGAATAGCACTTGAATATTACTGGCATTTATGGGCCAGAGAGACCTTGATCCCTGCATACGATGTAAGGACATTAGGCATATCTTTGCAACATCTCTACCTCCTTATAAATACATTTTGTGTGGAGAGTAAGGGGAGAGTTTAAAATGGTATTGCTTACAGTCTGTCTTCTGCAACAGTCCAGTATAGATTCCCAATGAATCCCCTACTGCATCCCATCTCTCATTTGGGGGAACTCTTGGTCCAGATTTGGTATCTAGTTTTACATTCATGAAGATCTTCTATGTTTGTTATTCTTCTACTTTGCTAAAATTTAGGTTTTCTTACATTTGTGAATATATTTCATACTGTGTATTCTAAACAGTTTGGTTTTTATTTGTCAAGGCTTTTGATCTTATGATAATGGTCTTACATTTATTTCCTTAGTTTATTATTATTATTATTACTTTTGGTTTGGGGGCACACCCGGCAATGCACAGGGTTAGTCCTGGATCATGCACTTAGGAATTACTCCTCATGGTGATTGGGAGACCATATGAGAATGCTGGGAATAGAATCTGGGTTGGCCACTTGCAAGGCGAACACCCTACCCGCTGTGCTATTGCTCCAGTTCCTCCCTAGTTTAATTTTAATCTGAAAAATTGGATTAACTAGTCTATTGAACTTTATAGAAATGTGATCATATTGTGGCACCAGATATTACATCTTTCTTTTCATTATTCAAATCTATCTTACATTTAGATATTCATTTCTATGACATTATCTTCTAGCACAACTTGGAAAAGTAGGGGTGATAGCAAGTACATATGAATGCTTGTGATAGGAATGCTTCTAACAGTTCACATTCCACTACTTTTGTACTGTAGATACTGAGGGAAAGAAGGCAGAGGGTTGTGTAAACCGAGAAACGGGATTTAGTTGTATGCTAATAGGTGGGGAATGGGTATTTCGGTAGTGATCTTAATGTATAATAAACACATATCAACTTACAATGTTAAAGACCTTAAACCTATATTGTTATCTATTATTATCTAAGTGAAATTTTTACAAATGAAAGTTGAAGGGAGATGCTGGCGCAACACTATGTGGGGTTACACAACCTCCTTGTAATCTATTACTCTGTATCTGATCCTGAATACATCAATACATTCTTTCTGTTAGAATAACCTCACCTTGTATGTCTAAGAAAATCTTTCATAATGATAAAGGGCTGCATGATATATGACTAAAACCATAATGATTTGTTACAGAAAAAATTAAAATAAGTATGCAGCTACAATTGATATTGCAGTTCCTGATTATTGTAGGACTCCATTAGATTATGATTCTGAATAAGTGTCTTTTTAAAAAATAACCTGTGTGAAGTTAGTCTACTCTGAAGCCATTTTGTTAAACTTACCCTAATAGCATAGAAATATTGGTGTGGTTGAACTTACAATTACTGTATTGTGACCTAGAGTTCGCTATTAAAAGGGCCACCTAAGCATAATTTATTTGGTTATTAGTGACTGTTGGCACATTATATGCAGCACATCAAATTGAATTATGGTACCAGATAAAATTATGGATAGTGATGAAGTTTGTGTATCATCCATTATCAAGTGTAATCAATAAATGATTTATTATTTTCTTGAAAAAATAGTAGGAGCTAGAGAAGTAAAGAAGATATGATGGGGATCACTGCAACTGAGTCCCTTAGGTCTTACGAGTACTATTCATATTTGCACAAATGAGGCAAAATTTAGTTTATTTACTATTATAGTCACAATAAAGGGAATGCAATTTGTATCTCCCATTCTGATAGCTCTTACATTAATTATCATGAATATAGCTGGAATTTATGCACATTATCATACATGTCCATTTTAGTGACACATTAGGAGCATGGAGAAATGAGCACTGTGAGTCAGACCTAATGTAGAATTCCATGTACACCTGTTCCACATAGACTCCCAAGGTAACAGGGAAGTGATAAAGCTCCAGGTAATATACAATCTGATTCCAACACTTCTACGTTCTATAAATGTTTGGGAATTTCCCCTTTCCCCAGTCTTCAGTTATCAGTGTGAATGGACATAGGTCTCTTTGGTGGTATTGCTGCTGTGTAAATTTGGATGACCTTTTGAACAGTGTTCCTCATAGGGAACTACTTCCTATGAACCCCATCTTTCCTTCAGTTGTTGTATTCTGGATCTGAAAACTGTCTCAGATATGGAAATTGGGAAAAGATCCATGATATATGTTTTTTTGGGGGGGACACTTAGCAGTGCTTGGGGTATTTTATTGGAACTCTTTACCCTCCTTCTCCTGCTTCATGGCCAACTGCTCACTCATTCTTGGTTTCTTTTGCTTATGAAAAGTGATCACACTATTTTTTAAATTTTATTTTATTAATTTTTCTTTTTTTA